TGTCACTGCTCACTGTTACTGTCACTGCTCATTGTTACTGTTACTGCTCACTGTTACTGTTACTGCTCACTGTTACTGTTACTGTCACTGCTCACTGTCACTGTTACTGCTCACTGTTACTGTCACTGCTCATTGTTAATGTCAGTGCTCACTGTTACTGTCACTGCTCACTTTCACTGTTAGTGCTCACTGTCACTGCTCACTGTTACTGTCACTGCTCACTGTTACTGTCACTGCTCATTGTTAATGTTACTGCTCACTGTTACTGTTACTGCTCACTGTCACTGCTCACTGTTACTGCTCACTCTCACTGTTACTGTCACTGCTCACTGTTACTGTTACTATTACTATCACTGCTCACTGTTATTGCTCACTGTTACTGTCATGGTTAATGTCACTGCTCACTGTCACTGCTCATTGTTAATGTCACTGCTCACTGTTACTGTTACTGCTCACTGTCACTGCTCACCGTTACTGTCACTGCTCATTGTTAATGTCACTGCTCACTGTTACTGTTATTGTCACTGCTCACTGTTACTGCCAATAATCACTGTCACTGTTCACTGTTCACTGTCACTGCTAACCATTCAGGGTTTAAAATATTGCTTCAGGACTGTTTTACATGTCAACAGACTGATGCACAGTGAGCAGCTCCTGTCTGCAGCCGACTCTACGGTCAGCTGAACGAAACTGAAAACAGGACGATGGGCATTTGTCCTGATGGACGTCTGACAGAATGGTTAAACACACTGAATTATGTGTTTCTAATGTTTTCATTGAGAGATGAAAAGGAGGAGAGTCTTCAACAGCTGCACCTGCTGACAAACTACAGTGACTTCTTGTTTTATCACGGCTGGATGCACCTGTCCCTGTCACCTGACGTCTGCAGCTCACCTGAGCTCAGAGCTCTGACTGTGTTCAGAGAGACCATCGTCTCCCTCGTCCTCTGAGTCAGCAGCAAGGACAGACAGACTGAGAACGGACACACAGACAGACAGACAGACAGAGAGGGACAGAAAGGAAGAAGAGTCAGAGACACAAAGAGGACAGAGACAATGAAAGGGTCAGTCTCATCCTCACATTATAAAGAACGTCTGTCCTTTAAAGACAAATGTCCTCACTTTATAAAAAAATGTCTTCTGTTAATCAAAACAAACATTTGGAACACACTGTACTAAAGACACCATGCAAAGTCATGCAGAAAGTCTCGTGACACATTCAGGACAGTTTAGTCTTTCAGTGGTTGTGTGTGACTGTTAGAGCAGGAGAGAGGAAGACGCCTGGAGCTGCTCGCTGCTTGCTGCTCAGCGCTCGGTGCCCCCCATTTTGACCCACTTCCTGCTCAGAGCTCATTAAAGTTTGATGGAGCCGACAGTGAGATGTAAACTGATTCACTTACACTTGTCCACTGAGACTTTACACTGACATGGACGCCTGTGTCCTCCACGGGGACATTGCTCTCTTCACACAACGTCAAACACACTGTCCATCACACAGTCAGCCGAGCAGCTGCAGGCGCCTTCAGCCTCCTGATGACATCACACATGAGCTGATGACATCACACATTACAGGTGAATAATGAAGATAAAACAGCAGTGTCAATCCCTCCTCTGCCACCACACTGATGCATGCTGGGAAATCACTCTGACATGTCTCTGGTTAGTCAGTTAGACGGTGTTCACACATCATAAAGAGACAGATGTTCACAGGAGGACAAGACCTGATTCTGGACTAAAACCAGTCTGCTGAACCAGTGAGACCAGTGTCCTCTGACACAGCTGAACCAGTGAAACCAGTGTCCTCTGACACAGTGGAACCAGTGAGACCAGTGTCCTCTGACACAGCTGAACCAGTGAGACCAGTGTCCTCTGACGCAGCTGCTGGTTTCTGTGTGAATGTGACTGTCAGCTTCATCTGATCCACTTTCCTCCAGCAGCAGATATTTATTATCTCAACACTGCTCTGAATGCACCGCTGCTACTGCTGTAATACTGATACTGCTGCTGTCTGAGCTCCTAACTCTACTTCATCTGAACAAACTAAGTACATGTAGCATAGTATTTCTATTGTCTGCTGCTTTACTCTACTCCTCCAGATATTGTACTGTTCAGTGTCTCTGATCTGACAGCTGTTAAACATCACACAGCTTATTAACTGTGACGCTCTGATTCAGTAACCCGAGGTCGTCTCTTCAGTCTGATCAAAGGTTGGTGTGTGTGACACTGTTGATGAGTGTCGCTCTGTAGAAGTGGTATTTCTGACCAAAAATGTCACGTGACTTTTGTAACGTTGTGACGGCGTTATATTTTTTGCACAATGTATTTGGTAATATTACCACTGTTGTCAAAACACCTGACGACCTCTGATAGAATAAGACGCTGCGACATATCGATGAACATCTGGACTCTGGCATGATGGAGGGACGTTAATACACACCACAACGTCACCACCACAACCAGGCTGGACACAAACTACACCACGGACACATGACTTAACGTCACCACCACAACCGGGCCGTAAACAGACTACACCACGGTCACATGACTTAATGTCACCGCCACAACCAGGCCGTAAACAAACTACACCACGGTCACATGACTGAACGTCACCGCCACAACCAGGCCGTAAACAAACTACACCACGGTCACATGACTTAACGTCACCGCCACAACCAGGCCGTAAACAAACTACACCACGGTCACATGACCTAACGTCACCGCCACAACCATGCCGTAAACAAACTACACCACGGTCACATGACTTAACGTCACCGCCACAACCAGGCCGTAAACAAACTACACCACGGTCACATGACTTAACGTCACCGCCACAACC